TGAAGTGAGAATTATTTATTTGAAATTACTTATTAAATTATTGCGAAGTAATTATGTAATTATTATATTTTTTTATCCTTATATGATTATACGAGAATTAAATTTACTAATTGACTAATTGTAATGAGATCAACGACATAATTGACTGTGATTATTGAACTGAATTAATGGTAATAGTTGTCTTGAATTTGTTTTATAAATATATTATTAAACTATTCACGAAGTTTGTAGCAGCAATACGGAAATATCTGCGACCTAATAAAGTATATAAAATTTTGTTCAGAACGCTCCACTGTATCATACCATCAAAACAAATTAGATCAGGTAGTTCTGTTAATGATATGCCAACGAAAAGTTTAACCGAAAAGTTCTTGAATATTATTAGGTTGGCAGCAGAAAGTTATCAGAGGATCTCAACATGTTTTACAGATCGACTCAACACCTTTTGTTTCATGTTTTGGGTATGAATAATAGTTTGACTCAATATCTTGTGATTAGAGTTTTGGTGATGAAGCATGTCAGTACTAGATTCGTAACAAAAGGTCTAAATCACTTGCAAAAACGACATCGAGTGGTGCTCGCAAAAGAGATGCTTGACAACGCAGCTGAGGAGCCTACATTTATGGAACGTATTACTACTGGTGATGAAACATGATTTTATGAACATGACAACAAAATTGTCCAATAATCTCACCAATGGCGCTCCAAAATACGTCGAAAATGAAACAAATCAAAATTGGCTAGAGAAACTGAAGGCTATCTCACACGAGGTTTCAAAATATGGAAAGTTGAATCAAGCCTTAGTCTTACTATCCTTATTATATTGGCTCAGGAGCTTATTTTGAAAGCGATAGTAAAAAATGCATGCAAAATATGTGAAAATGTATTTTTTTTAACTGCGTGGGTCTAACTTGATCAGATGGTATAGCTGCCATATAAACGCCCCAAGTAACTTTTTTGTTTGGAAATAATATTGAACATATGTATTTTATATTTAAAATTTAAAGTTT